TAAAATGAAAAACGACAGAAAAAGGGAGGGGAAGAGGAGGAGGAGGAGGAGGAAGAAGAATAAGAAGAAATGCAACGTTGTAAAAAAAAAAAAAAAACAGTTTCCGTCGCATAACTATTTTAACGATTATATTTATCGCTCGTTTAATTTTCGTTCGCGTTTGTTTGTTTGTTTGTTTGTTTATACGTAAGTTTAATAGTAAATCGTTTGTTTCATTCGTTTGTTTCATTTCTCCTTTTTTTTTTTGTTTTTTTGTTTTTTTGTTTTTAATCTTCGTGTCGAGGGTGAAGGGTGATGCGCTCGAGGGAGTAAAAAATTAATAATATGTCACTCGCGAGTACCGACGCCGCTGCCGCCAACCTTTGAAAATTTTTAAAATAAATCGATTTTAATTTTATCATTTAAAATTAAAGTCGATTAATAATTAAAACATTTTTTTTTTATTCTTTTGTTGTTGTTGTTGTTGGGTGTCGGATTGCTTCGAGTTGGATTTAATAAAGACTCAATTATCGAAAAAAGCGGCGGTTCGTGACCGCCGGTAATTAAATTAATTTTTTTTCTATGTGTGTGTGTGTGTGTGTATTAAAGTCCAATACAAGAAATGTAAGGCACGACTTTTTTTTTTCAAAGTTGGTACTTTACGGTGTGCCGCCTTTTTTTGTATTTGATCTGTCAATGGAAACCATTACTCACGCCTAAAAGTTTTTTTTTATATATATATATACCGAAAGGTATTATTATCATCGTGTTTCCGCCACTTAAAATTTTATTAAAATAAAATTAACAAATTTTTTTTTTTTTTTTGTCGTTCAGGGCGATCAACTCTCATTCGTTTGTTTTATTATTATTATCATCATTATTATTAGGAACCCCGAAAAATTGGGCCAATCGAATCACGATTACGAATGCGAAACGTTTTGATTGGTTATTGATGGATGTGTGAGCGCGTGTGCGTGTGTGGCAGCCTTGATTGAGATATCGATGGAAAAATGGTTTTCTCGTGTGTGCGAGAGTGAAAATTTTACCAAAAAAAAAAAGGAAAGAAGTTTCTAGAAATTTCGATTCGTTTGCCCATTTCTTCGTTCTTTCTTTTAATTCGTTTTCCTCTTTTTTGCCTCCTCCATGTTTGTGAGTTAACATAATTTCAAGTGGATGGATGATGGATGAATGGTTAAATCGGCAATAAAAAATCAAATAGAAAATATGGAAATTAGAAAAAAAGAAACGTCGAAAAATAACTGAGAATAATAATAATAATAATAATTAACGGTTATTATTATTATTATCATTCACGAACGGTTAAATTTACGCGATGACACGCCGTGGCGAAATTTGCCCCCTTTCTCTCTCTCTCTCTCTCTCTCTCTCTCTCTCTCTCTCTCTCTCTCTCTTTCTCATTCTCTCTTCTTCTCTAATCGAAATGTTTGTTTGATCCGAAAATGTTAAAATCGAATTTCCGGGAAAGGGGGAGGAGGGTGGGTAAGGGTGAAAAATTACCCGTACGCACGTCACGTAATACGATGGTAATTTTTTTTTGTCACGGATAAAAATAAGACTCGTTCGATTATAAAACTCGGCGGGTAATCCTCCATGCACACTACTACTACTACTATCATTATTATCATTTATCATCATCATCATTATTATTATCATAAGCGTATGTAAATCAGGTTGTGAAAAAAAAAAAAAAAAAAGCGTGAGAAAAGTACACGAGAGTTATTTGGAAAAACGGAGGTGGGAGGGAGGCGGGGAGAGAGAAAAGGGAGCACAATGCCGGAAATGAAAAAGTTTCGACGTGGAATAAGCGCGTGTGCGCGTGCGCGTGACAGGAAAAACAAGAGGGAAAATGCACAATACATTGGCTAAAACCACGAAAATAACGTTAATGACAACGATAACGTGACGATGATGGATGCGAAAAGTCGTGTAATTGATTCGATTGATCGATCGATTTATCGTTTTGGCAACAAAAAAAAAGCCGAATCGAAAGTGAAAATGACGCAAAAGAGGCAATAAATTCGTCCGTGTGAAAAAAAAAAAAAAAATTGAAACTCACGCGTTTTTTTTTTTTTTGTCATAGTGAATTTTTTAACGTGGTTATTAAGAAAAACTTCAAGTCACGCACACGTCTACCTTTTTCCGCTTTATTCGATGGTCCTTAAAATAAATAAATAAAAAGTAGAAAAAGTTTTTTTTTTTTTTTTGGGCGGGGAGGCGGTTTTTCTCTCTCTCTCTCTCTCTCTTTCTCCCTCGTCAAAGATTAGAAATTTTTTTTTTTTTTTTTTGGTTGGTTCCCTCCTCTATCTCACCTTCTCTTACAAGGTGGTAGAAGTCATTGCGTAAAAAAAAATCCGTCACGACGATGATTTCGTTTGTCGAAACCTGAAAAAGTTTTCACTTCTAAATCGACTTTTGACGCGTTTGTCGACATTTTGAAAAAAAAATTCGAATTTTTCACGGGTGGATTTGTTAATATGCAAGTGAGTGTTTTTATTATATATATTATTATCATTATTGTTGTTGTTGTTGTTGTTGTTGTCGTCGACGTTATCAACGACTGTATTTTTTTTTTTTTTTGTCAATTTGTGCTCCATTTTTTTTTTTTTTTCTCATTGATATTAAGTCACTCGATCAATTAATTTTTTTTTTTTTTTTTTTTTTATTGGATCATTTAATGATATCTTTAATAATATTTAAAAATAGAAAGAGAGAGAGAGAGAGGGGGGGGTCAAAGTTCAATTTAACGAATTTTTGTTTTAAAAAAAAAAATTCGATTCTCGTTCGTCGACTTCGATATTCGATATCTCGCGTCGTCATCTGAGAATCGTTGTCAGCACTGAAGATGGATTTTCGATGTCAACGATCGTCGTTAAAAATTCAAATTTTTAATGTTTTTTTTACGCGATAAAATGCCTACGAATGAATTTTTACTTCCCGAAAAAAAGTCAGGACCGGAAGTGATTTTTCTTACTTTTTTTTGGGTTTGAAATTTTGATCCTTTCTCTCTCACTCTCTGTCTCTCTTTTTTAGATATTTAACTTTTGTGCCCTCCTCTGCCCCCCCTTCATTTTTTTTCCGACGGGATTTTTTATTTTTTTATTTTTTGGTGGTGGATTCATTCTTTTTTTTAATAAAATAAATTAAAACGAACGCGCGTTCGATTAGCGGAGAGTAAATAGTAATGATGATGATGATGGGTGATGTGCTCCTCCTTCCTTCAACGGTTTTTGTCTGCGTGGCCGAACGCATGTGAACGTGAGTGTGCGTATTCATATTAACGGTACGTACCCGACGACTACTTAAATGTGGTCCCCATCGGGATTGGCTTAACATAAACCGTAGTAGGGAGAGGGAGAGGGAGAAAAAAGTGGGAAGTACGACGGCGGAGAGTCGGTAATGGCGGTAGCGACGGCGGCGGTGGTTGTCCTTTTTAGAGTCATTTAATAATGATTTATCGATCAGGTTTTTTTCGATTTGATCGGATTTATTATTGCAGGCGGCGGTCCCCACCCCAGCCCTCCACTCTCCTCCCCTCTCCTGTCTTCTCACGCGTGAAAATTAGGGCCTTGTTGAATTTTACTAATTCCACGAGCAAATATTTAACTTACCGTCGATCGGTCGTCGGTAATTAATATCCTAATAATTTTTCACACGCTTTTAAAAAATCGATATTCGATATATCGATCGTCGAACGAGACGGTCGTTCGATTTTTCCTTTTTTTTTTTTTTTTTTTCTACGTTCGGTCGTCGTGTTTTTTCGTTTTGAATGAATGAAATATTTAAAAAAATTATAATCATCATTATTATTATTTTTGAGTTAATTTAAATAATTAACAAAATACACGTTTCGACACGTGTCAGAAAGATAATAATAATAAAAACAAAAACAACAACAACAACATCCAAACTCACGAATTCGTCCCAATTTTTTAGGTTTTTTTAGAAGAGATGGATTTGATTTTAAATGTTGGTACCCCTTAAATTTTGATCATGATGAAGGTACCCCGATCGGAACTCACATCCTTCCTTTCACTGCGAATTAATCGTCCATTTATTTATAATAAAATAATAATAATCCGGAAATTTCGATTGTTATTATTATTATTATTATTATTTTTGTACCCTTGACGTTTCGTAACCTTGACAGATCGATTAATCGATCGATCAATCGATTGTTTGAACTTTTGAATAATTTTCCACGTTTAATGGGAAAAATTTTGTGGTCGAAACAGAAAAAAATTTTTAAGGCGAGAGTCAGTCAAATGGCGTAATGACAATCAAAACAATTAAATTTTTTATTTTTTTTGTCCGTTAATGCATCCGCGGAGGAATGTGAGTAACCAAGATGGCGGAAAACAAAAAAAAAAAAAAATGTGAAATCCGATGGTGGTTATTAAGGTCGTTGGGTAATAACTTAATTTTATAATTGAAAGAAAAAAAAACAAAAAATGAATGCGTACGATGATGATGATGATGATGATGATGTGTATTGATAATAAAATAATAAGAAAGGAAATATCAATGGAAAGTAATAATTTTTTCTGTAATTATTATTATTATTATTATTATTATTATTATTATTATTATTACTCCGTCGTCCGGGTCGTTAAAAAAAAAAAAAAAAAAAAAAACATCAATTTAATATAATTACGAATTTATAATTTTTATCTTTTTATTTTTAAATAATTACTCGCGTTGTCATTTATTTATTTATTCATTTCACTTTTTAATAGGAAGAAGGAGAGAAATAAAACAAAAAAGGTTTTTATTTACTCTATGAAATTTTTTTTTTTTAAATGGAAAAAACCGTTAAACCGTTAAATTTTTGCTGACGTCATAAGTTTGACGCGGTTGATGCTGTTGTCGTTGCGTAACATTGTCGATTCGTTAATGTGAAGTATAATAATATTTGTTTGTTTGTTTGTTTGTTTGTTTGTTTCAGAGCGTTGCATGATTTAAAGAGAGAGAGAGAGAGAGAGAGATAAAAAGGTTTGAGGAAAATGCAACAATTTTTTCTCCTTGTTTATTCGTTTACGCTCCTCGCGAGTCGATCGTCATGCGAATTGTTCACGGCTCTAGTCGACATGGAAGAACTGCTACAAACGGAAGCCGTTTTGATGAACACTCTCGAGGGTTACATATCGGTGACGGAAAGGAAATTGGAAAGACTGAGAAGACATTTGGAAGAGTTTAGGAAGGAACACGATCAGGCAAGCAGAGGAGTTCAGGAATATCTATCGAATCCGATAAATGCTTATCTACTCACGAAAAGACTGACGAGCAACTGGAAAGAAGTTGAAACATTAATGACGGACGATGTAGGATTCGGTGAGTACGAACCGAACGATTGTTGTTTGTTGTAGGAAACGCAACGAGTTGATTGTTTGTTTGTTTCGTTTGTTAGAATTCGTGGATAACATAACAAACTACAGATCGGAAAATTTGCTCAAATTTCCAACGGACGAAGATTTAAACGGTGCCGCCGTCGCTCTCATGCGTCTTCAAGACACGTACAAATTGGACACGTCTTCGGTTGCGAGAGGAGAACTCAACGGCGTTCAATACAGCACGCAACTCTCCGCGGGCGATTGTTTCGAATTGGGCAGGCAATCGTATCAGAACAAAGACTACTACCACACGGTTTTGTGGATGACGGAAGCCATGGATAGGTATCACGAAGAAGTGAACAAAACGACGGCGAAGGGAGACATACTCGAGTACCTGGCATTTTCTACCTACATGCAGGGTAACATAAGGAGAGCGTTGCAAATGACGAACGAACTCCTCGAACTCTATCCGAACCACGAGAGAGCTCAGGGTAATAAAATATACTACGAAGACGCGCTACAACAGAGCAAAGGCCAGAAGAAAAAGGGAGACGACGGCGACGAAATAGTCATAGAGAAAAATACAAATTCGAAATATTACAAGGGGAGAGGAATGTACGAGAAATTGTGTCGGAACGAAGTCGGTTTGAGCGAGAAAATGAAAGCCAAACTCAAATGCAGGTACGTCGATTTCGGACGACCCTTTCTCATGTTGGCAAAAGTGAAAGAAGAAGAAGCTTTTCTCGATCCGAGAATCGTTTTGTACCACGACGTTTTATCGGATAGAGAAATCAAAACGATACAACAGTTGGCAGTACCGAGATTTAAAAGAGCAACGGTGCAAAATTCTGAAACTGGAAAATTGGAAGTCGCTCATTACAGGTAAAATAAAAGAAGGAAAATTTTTTTTCCCGTTAAAAGCAGACAGAAATTTACAAAATTTTGTTTACGTTGAATAGAATCAGCAAATCCGCGTGGCTAGAAGACGTGGATCATCCGTACGTGGCAAAAGTGAGTCAAAGAGTAGAAGATATAACGGGTTTAAATATGGCAACAGCGGAATCGTTACAAGTCGTCAATTACGGTATCGGCGGTCATTACGAACCCCATTTTGATTTTGCAAGGGTTGGCATCCATTTTTTTTTTTTTTTGGGGGATTTTGTTACCAACGTGAAAAAATAAAAACGATTAATTTTTAATTTTTTAGAAAGAAGAAAAAAATGCGTTTCAATCATTGGGAACCGGAAATAGAATCGCGACCATATTATTTTATGTGAGTTTGAAAAATAGAAAATGTCGTTAAATTTTTTTTTTGTTTTTAATGACTTTCATTTTTTATTGTTTTTGTTTTTAGATGAGCGACGTGAGTCAAGGAGGTGCGACTGTTTTTCCAGGAATAAAAGTTTCCCTTTGGCCTAAAAAGGGAACGGCCGCTTTCTGGTATAATTTGAGGAAAAATGGCGAAGGAGATTATCTCACGAGGCATGCAGCATGTCCGGTATTAACAGGGTCGAAATGGGTTTGTAATAAATGGATACACGAAAGAGGACAAGAATTTCGAAGGCCGTGCGGATTAACAGAACACGAAGTTTAAATTTAAAAAAAAAAAAATAAATAAATAAATAAAAAAACTTTCGACTGATTTCTATATCCTGTGTGTGCCTGTGAAATTTTTTTTTTTTTTAAATTGGAAATGATGATTTTTTTTTTTTTATAAACGTGCCAATTAATAAATGCCAATAAAATTATTAATTTTTAAATAATAATAATAAATACTGTTAAGTTCATTTTTATGTAAAATAAAATTTCTTTTATATTTTTCATAAAAATTAAATTGCATTAAAACCTTTTGATTTAATTTCAAAATGGCGGAATTGGATTCCATTTAATAAACGATTAATTGATTTTAATGGTTTAATGAGTGTTTACTTACTTACGAAAGCAGTTTTGCCAACGGAAATTTAAATCGTGGTAAAAGATTTATCGTGGGATTAATGTAAATATCGAATGATAATATATATCTCGTACCACGTTTACAACCTTGTTCTTCTGCACACGAAACACAAACAATAATCAATGAAAAGAATTTTTTAACATTCGTATGGAGTATTTTAGAAGCGGATTAAAATCCGTTTTGGGAACTTCCCAACCTGGGGAACGTTCAAACGCACCGGAAACGGTATTTACCATTAAATTTTTATCATTATTATTATTATTATTATTGAATTCGTTATATTAACAGTTTAAATTGTTTACAATTAAAAAGTATATTCGGTCGGTATTTTAACATATTTTAACTGACCCATTTATAATTACGACAGTTTTTAAGCAAGAAAAACGTTTTCCCGTATCGTTTTCGACGGTTATTTTTCGTTTTTTCAGATTGAAAAATTAGTCGACAGAGTACAGACTTCAACATTGCTCGAAGATAGAAGAGATGCTTGCAGAGCGCTTAAATCCCTGTCGAAAAAATACAGGATTGAAGTGGGAGCACAGGGAATGAATGCTTTTGTTCATGCTTTACAGACTGATTCGATAGATTGCGAATTGATAGGTTATGTACTTGACACTCTTTGTAATGTCACATCGCCTGAACCATTAGACGAAGAAGAACAACCAGATGTTGATTGCGATTTGTCAAAAATAGGAGGTCAATTTACTGAAATATTCATTAAACAACCTGAAAATGTCGGTTTGATATTAGCTTTTTTAGACGAATTCGATTTCAGAGTGAGGTGGCCGGCTGTTAAATTGTTAACATCACTTTTAAACAACAAGTATTATCATTATCTTTTCTATTCATTAACTCTCATTTATTGTAAAATTTATTAGAATTTAAAAATTTACTTTTAGAACTAGAGAAGTTCAAGACATTGTTCTTGTTAGTCCAATGGCTGTATCTAAATTAATGGATTTGTTGGGTGATAGCAGAGAAATTATTCGTAACGATGTAAGAAAATGAACATTTTGTAAATGTCAATTCAAACCAGGTTAGGTTAAAATTTAAGGTTTTAATTTTTTCTTCCCAGGTTCTATTACTTCTCACACAATTGACAAAAGGTAATGCAAACTTACAGAAAATTGTCGCATTCGAAAATGCATTCGATAGAATATTCGAAGTCATTAAAGATGAAGGTTTTGCCGATGGAGGGATCATAGTTCAAGATTCATTTTTATTAATGCTTAACTTATTGAAAAATAATTCATCTAATATAAATTTTTTCAAAGAGGGTAGTTACATACAAAAATTAGCACCTGTTTTCGCTTTGCCTCCCGATGGTAGCGATTATGATAATTGGACGACTCAAAGGGTTGCCAACGTTCACTGTATGCTTAAGGTAAATAAAGAATTTTTTTTAAACCTTTCATTCTCGAATGTTGACCCCCCTTTTTTTTTTTTTTTTTCCTCATAATAGGTTTTGAGAGCTTTAGTCAGTCCTAGTAATCCAACACAAATTACAAATTCATGTCAAGTCATTATGAAATCATCCGGACTGCTCGAAGCTTTGTGTTCCGTTTTGATGGCTAGTGGAGTACCAGCTGATATACTGACTGAAACGATTAACACAGTTGCTGAAGTCATTCGAGGTAATTTTTCTAATCAGGAATATTTTTCTGGTGTCATGGCTCCTTCCACTCCACCAAGGTAAACAACAACAGAGAGAATTGCACGATTTGAAAATTATGAATGAAACACATCGATGATAATTTTTTGTTTGTTATGTTTTCAGACCTGTTATCGTTGTTCTACTCATGTCGATGGTTAATGAAAAGCAGCCATTTTTACTTAGGTGTTCCGTTCTTTATTGTTTTCAATGTTTTTTATTTAAAAATGAATTTGGTCAAGCTCAATTAGTTCAAACTTTACTTCCATCAACCTCTGAAGGTATTTTGTCAGACAATGTTGTGTTTGTCGTTGTTGTTGTTGTTTGGTTGTTTCAGTTATTATTTCTTTCGCAGTTAATACATTAACCTGCGGTCAACTTTTATGCGGCGGTTTGTTTAGCACGGATCCACTTTCGAATTGGTTTTCTGCTGTTGCTCTGTCACATGGAATAATAGAAAATCCTGCTGAAAAAGAACAATTGTTAAAAGTCATGCTTGCAACTAGTCCAGGAGCGAGTCCCGTTTCTCTCCTTCATCAATGTTCTCTACTCCTTCAACAGGTTTTCTCTCTCTCTCTCTTTCTGCTGTTGTCATTTAATTATTTAAATGAAATAAAAATGAATGATGATGTTTGTTTTCAGAGTAATCAAGTCCAATCAAAGTTTGGTCTTCTTATATTGTTATCGACGTGGTTGTCGCATTGTCCTCAAGCCGTGTCTCAATTTTTATCCATACCTTCCAACATTCCCTTTTTAACGGCTCAGGTATGTCTGCATACCACTTTTTTTTTAATGCTTTTTCACGTTTAAAACGAAAAAAATTTTGTACGTTACAGACGGCATCGACGGAACACGATGAAACTGAGGAATTACTTCAAGGCCTTTGTAGTTTTTTAATGGGTCTATGCGTTCATTTTAACGATAATTCCGTACCTAGTTTTTCAAAGGTTCGTACAAAATTAAGGTTCGATTCAATTTTTTTTTAAATTAAATATCGCATTCAATTGAATGATAAACAAAACATTATTTCCAGGAAAATTTGTGCCAAATAATATCGAAAAGAATCGGAGTCGAAATGTTTTTAGATAAATTGAGCGGAGTTTCAAAACACGAGCAATACAACAAAGCTTCGAAACATCCGAACATAAGGCCGGGTAGTCAATCCGAATTGTTTTTAGATCACGAATTTTGCCGGTTGTTTAAAGTTTTGGAAGGTATGGTTGGGAAAGCTGTGAGTCCGAGAGTGGATTTCATGAACGGTTCGGACGACGTTTCCGACAGCGTTTTGGTGCAACAGTACAAGGAATTGATACGGGAACAAGATTTGAAATTGAAAGAATACGGAACGGAATTGGAAAGGTTGAGAAATCAGGAAGGGATCCTCACGAAAATGTTGAACGAATTGAAAATATCCGAAGGACAATTGAAAGATGAAAATGTTTTGCTGAGAGCACACGCGAGCAGTAGCGGATCGGATTTCAATTACAGTCAAGAACTTTTAAGACAAATCGAATATTATAAAAAGGAAGCGGAACACTGGAAGGAACAGTACAATAATAATAATAATAATAATAATAGTAGTGGTAGTAATACGACGGGGGGAAATAAAACGGAAATCAATCAATCGGTGAGCGTGTGGAAAATGTTTGTTTACCTTTGTTTTTTTTTCTTCAGACGACATTAAAATTTCTTTGTAAATTCGTTTAGGAAAATTACGGGATCGCAAATGGCGGTTTGGAAACGGAAACGGCGGCGGAAATGGATAAATTAAAAGAAGAATTGGCGGCGGAAAAATTGAAATTATCGCAGGTTGAAGAGAAAATGGCGAAATATGAAAAAACCGAATCAGAATTGGAAGCTCTTAGAAAAGATCAGGAAAGTCTTTTGGAATTGTTGGCCGAACAAGAGGGAAAATTGCAAGAATTTAAAAATAAATTACGGAAACTCGGTGAAAAGGTTTATGAGAAATTCAGCCATTTTTCTGTCTCTTTTTTTAATGGCTTTCTCTAACTCTTTAATGAAAATTTCAGGTTGATGATGATAACGAAGACGATGAGGATGATGATGATGACGATGACGATGATGAGGATGGTGCAGTAGAAGAAATAGAAGAAGGAGAAGGTGTTTATGTCGTCATACCATGAATAGATGATGATGATGATGATTAAAATCAATCAAAGTTTGTTTTAACGTTTGAAATGACGTCATCGTCGTCGTTTCGACTGGAGAAAGACGAACGACGCTGGATTCAAATCGTTTATTTAAAAAAATCATAGCAGTAACAAAAAAAAAGAAGAAACAGTGCCTTACAGCTTTAAAAATCGTTTTAAAGTTAAGGAAAAGAAAAAAGAATTAGCAAATAGTATTTAATTACCTTTAATAACCGTTTTGGAGAAATGTTACGCCGCCATATCGCCTTTCATATTTTCCAGTATATTAATCGACGTGAAAATTTTTAAGTTTTTTTTGGGGGAAAAAAGAATTCGCCCCTTGAATTTACTTTACAAATTTATTCAGTTATTTTTTTCGTAACGGACGACTGATATAGCTTCTTGCATTTAAATAAAACTTTAAAAACCCATTTTATTTTAACTGTATGTACATATATATAACGATATTAATATAAACTAAAATAATTATAAATATTAACTTTTTTTCGTGTTTTTAAATGCGTAGAATATAAGAAAAGTTTAAAATAGAAAAATAAAAACACTCACAAACAAGTTTATTTAAAGTTAATAACTACAAAAAATAATTTAACAAACAAAAGATGATGACGTCTTTGAAGATTTTGAATTTGAATTTAAAAAAAACGTTACGTTCGAATACTGCTGACACGACGATTCGAACGCCGCCGCCGCAACAGCGCCATTTATAATTTCGTACGAGAACACATGATTATTACAACTGGTAAGAGAAATTATTTTCAAATTATTTTATTTTTCTGTTTTCTATTATATCAATCATTGTTATCATTTCAATCATTAAGCATTTCTCCATGATTTTTTCATATCCAGTAATTCTCCCTCGTCGATTTTTATCAATTTCGAAGCCAAAATAATTTCACCATTTTCATGTTACCATTTATATGTTGACTCTAACCATTTTTCCCCCATTTTCATCATCATCATCATCATCATCATCTTATAATATATTAATATAATATTATAATATTAAATATTAAATTTCAAAGAAACAAAGAAGAAAAGATTTTTTATATATATACATACATTTGAATGGAAACGATTAAAAAAAAAAGGGAAAAAAAAATTCATAAAAACCGGCCCAAAATAATTTTTTTTTTTAATTAACCGCAATAAACTAGATTTATTAATAAATAAAAAAACTGGAATTTTATTCCAGTCGAAAAATAATGTTTGTTATAAAAAAAAAAAAAAATATTAATTTATGAAAATGTTTTTTTTAATAAACTTTTTTATCAACGGTATTTAATTAATGGAAATTTTTTTATTAATTTTATTTATTTATTATATTTTTCAAAACGTTTTATCCACATGAAATTATCATTATCATTTAACATAACTCGTTCGTTAAAAAAATTTATGAATAAATAAATAAATAAATAAAAATCAAGACGGCAATAACGGCAAATAATAATAATAATAATAATTAACCGGATTCAAATACAAAAAAACAAAATCTGGAGCGTGACGTCATCACACGACAAAATTAAAAATGTCTGGAGTGAAAAGTTTTCTAATTAAATAATTTTAACATAAAAATATAATTTAAAATGTAAACATTAATACATAGTAAAAATTTTCCAGATGAAATCTTGTCGATTTTTCTCCAGAGAACAAATGGAAATTATAAAAGACTGGAATTCAAATTTCTTAGGAAATCGAGAATTAGGGAATGCATATAGTAAGTCTTTCTTTCTTTCTTTTATTAGCAAAGATTTTGTTATTAATAATTTCCAGAACATTCATCCATCCATCCAGTACCAATTTATTTTATAAAATGTTTGGAAAGTATGACTCACGTTGGGGTAATTGCTGGAGAATCTAAAAAAAAAATAAAATTTTTTACAAGATTAAAACTACTCTCATCCCCACCATGATCGCATTCGTAAGAGTATTACTCATCGTAAGATGTATTTCTCTCTCTCTCTCTCTCTCTGGAGAAATGTAGAAACGGAGTTTAGTTGTTGGTGGTGGTGGTGGTAGTAGAGACGGGGGGTGGCGGCAACCGCGGCGACTATAAACGGGGGAATTGCGTGCGGGTCCACGTAGTCAGGTACAGGTGGCTAATCGAGACTTGATTTATAAATTCAACCAATAAGAAATACCAAGTCTCGAACAACAACAACAACCACAACAACCAAAACCACAATTCTCTTCTTATGATATATACGAATCTTGTGGAAGGAGTGTGTTGACCGCGTGTGTATGGGGGGGGGGGAGTCAGGGAAGTAGAGGTGGGAAAGGGGGGCCGGTTCGGGAGCCTGGGAGAGCGGCTGGTGTGCGAGGTAGCTCAGCTTCTCTTCTGTTCACTGTCGAGTTTTGAATAGTATGGCGGTCCTTTAATAGTCGTCTTACGTTTAATTACATTTTTTTCTTTAACGTTTTCATTGTTTTCTCTTGTAATCCGTGGGTGTTTTGTATATACTCATTGTTTTTATATATTTTCCTTTTAAACAAAATGGATTATTTATAATAAAGTGTGTGGAAAGAAATTTTTTTTTTTTTTTAAATCAAGGTGAACATTGTGTGTGTTTTTTTTTTTTTTTTTAAAAAACTCTTTGAATCCGAATCGAATTGTGGTTTGTCAAAAACGGAAGTCAATACAATTTTAAGTGCCACATAAATCTTTTCAAGTTTTCAACTTTCTTGTCTTGTTGTAAATAATTTTTAAATAAAAAAAAGATTTTTTTGTTTGTTTGTTTGTGTGTTCGTGTGTGAATTTTATATTTAAAACAAACATGTAATCGTTATAAATATATAAAAAAAAAAAAACTCGAGAGAAAATAGTTAACGCTTAAAGGAAATCGAATATAGTGGTAAGGTCTTTAATCACGGACGCTGCTTATCTGGCAAGAAGCCATTTTGTTTTTGTTACACACAAGGAAATTATACCTAACCCCATCATCATATATACGTGAACCTGTACTCGGCATTTTCAGGTTTTAGTTTTGTTTATTTTTATTTGTTTTGTTTGTTTTCTGATCCTTTTTTTTTTCCTTCTCTCTCCCTCTTTCCTCTCCCATCTTTCTCTCTCTCTTTTCCACACATATATTTCCTTACTGTAAAAAAAAAAAAAAAAAAAAATATGGTAATTTAAATAGTTTTGTAACATCGGCCATATTTTATATAATCAAAAAATTTTTTTAATATTATTAATAACAAAATTCGCATGAATTTGATTTTATTTTAACAAACTTTTTAATTATTTATTTATTTTATTATCATTATTTTGTTACAAACACGGTTACAAACTTAATTTTTCTTTTATTATGTAATTTTTTTTTAAAAAAAAAAAAATATTACTCTGAAAGTTAAAAAAAATTAATAATATTAGGTGTTTTTAGGTTTATAAAACCTGATTTGTTAAATTTTAATGAAACATACCTACTTATAGGTTGTATATTTGGTATTATGTAGCTATATTTCATTTCATTATTATTATTATGTGTGTTTGGGTGTTTTTGATTAGGGTTAGAGATGATAAGGTTATTGTTAAGAATGAATTTAAGTATCAGATTATTAACTGAAATATTTTGTTTGTTTCTGAATGAGTGTGTTTGTGTTTGCTTGTGTTGTTTGTATGTGTGTGTGTGTGTTTGTGTCTGTGTCTGTATGTGTGTGTGTGTGTGTGTGTGTGTTTGTATGTGTGAGTGTTTGTGTCTGTGTGTGTTTGTGTGTGTTGCTTTAGACAGGGCAATGGTAAAACATGGTAACATTAAGATTCAAGTTGAAAAAGTTTTGATTAACACACATTTTAAAACATTATTTTTTTTGAAATCAAGATTGTAACAAATGCAGGGAAACATAATTTTCTTACACAAAAGATAGTTATAAAAAATTTCAATGAATACTCACACACACACACATAATAAATTTCGTTTTGGTTGGATGATTACATTTCTATGGTTTGATTTTAGCCAATTATATCTCCCGAGTAGTGTGAATTCAAACCATGATATTTTCTATATAATAAAAACATATTTTCGTCCCGCTTGTATTAGACTTTCTCCATTTTTCGATTTGTATATAACGTATATTGTGTCATTATATCTAAAAAAAAAAAAAAATACGTTTTTCTATTAAACATAACAATTTTAAACGATTTTAAATTGAAAAAATAAGAAATAAATCCATTTTATTATTATTATTATTATTATTGAACGCTTGAAGCATTACCATTATTATTATTATTATTAAAAAGAAAGAGATAATACCTTTTGGCTAATATTTCCATTTGTACTTACTATACGTTATAATTAACAACTTCCTGTTGTTGAATTTTTTTAACACCTACAATCAAATGACTTTCCGTTTCCGGTTTTTATTTATTAATAATCTATCAATCTATGCATTTTACACCTGTTTTTCTCTTTTTATATATAGTTTAACGTAATTAAAATTATTATTATTATTTCAAAGTTGTATATTTTAAAAAAAAAAAAAAAAAGAAATGTAAACGAATTATTTTTTCATTACACCAATTAATCAATTCGAATGTTGATGACGTCATCACGTTTAACAAGCAACAGGTTGTTGTTGTTGTTGTTGTAAACAAGCAGGGACTGCCGCCAACTTAAGAAAAATAAAAAAAAATTGTAATCTGATTTAATTAATGGTATAGCCAAAGGGTTAATTAATAAAAAAAACATGGGATCTGGGGGGATTCGGATTAAATTATTTCTTCTTTTTTTTTTTTAATAATAAACCTGAAAAGGTTTTTAATATGTATTATACCTGAACAACTATATACATATATATACTAACTTTCAACGTTACAAGTTTTCAATTAAATAAAAATATCAATTTCATAATGATAATAATAATAATAATAATGCTTTACATTAAGGTAGGTCTTTTGCAAAAAAGAAATAAAGAAAACAATTTGTATTTAAAACGTTTTAATATAATTTATTTATTAATTACAATGTTGCCAAATAACTTATTATTATTATTATTATTGTTGTTGTTGTTTTTTAGCAAGTAAGGGAAAAAACCCAAAACTCTATGAAAATCTGTTGAAAATATGTAATCATAAAGAGAGAGAGAAAAGGAGAGAGACAGAGAGAGAGAGAAAAGGGGAGAGGAGGAGAGAGAGAGAGAGAGAGAGAAAAGGAGAGGAGAGAGAGAGAGAAAAGGAGAGAAGGAGAGAGAGAGAGAAAGAAAAGGAGAGAGAAGGAGAGAGAGAGAGAGAGAAACCATTACAATCATCATTTATTTTTATTATTATACATATAGGTATGAACCTTAATTGAAATTTTATTATTCATAGACTGAGTGAGTGAGTGAGTTTATACGTGGCAGGATATTAAAATGAATCTACATCGTGTGAACCCTACCTGGCTTCTGAATATATGTATACCTTTTGTCTTTCTTTTCTGTCTTCTACCACGTCAAATTCTTCACGACGTCGTCGTTATGAAAAAGAATAAATTTGTTTTTTTTTCTCTTTTCTTTTTATAATAAATTTTATTCAAGGTGTGTTTGTTGTGTGTTGTGTGCTGTGCATGTTTGTGTTTGTTGTGTGTGTTGTGTGTGTTTGTGTGTTTGTTGTATTTGTTGTATGTGTTTGGGTTTTTATATGAAATTAAAATGTGGTGGGTACAAGTTGGAATTATTGTAGTTTACAAGTAGTAGCCAACTTTCATCCGGTTTTTTTTTACCTTTTTCCTTTAATGATGATGATGATGATGATTTTCTTCTTTAATATTAATTTTATTGTCGGGTAATAATAATAATAATATTTTTTTTATTTTATTACCAAATATAATAAAATAAAATCATGTTTTTCTCTTTCTCTCTTACTCACTCACTCTCTGCTTTAATTCCTTCTCTCTCTCTCTCTCTCTCATTTGCTACCATTTATACGACCAGATTATATTTTGTTGTTGTTGTTGTGTAGTGTGGTATTAATAATAATAATAATAATAATAATAATGGTAATAAAAATAAATTTTACGGTTGTAATAAAAAATGTTTTTCCGTTTAAGGTTTAGAAGAGAGAGAGAAAGAAAAAAGCTCATTTAATTTTTTTGTAAACTTTATTAAATTTGACTTTTATTATTTACAATTTTTTTTTTTTAAATAAAGGCGTTAACAGGTATTCAAGGTCGTTTGTATTGTACTCTAACAAACAAACAAACCGACAAACGTTTGAAATATTATATATATGTATATATCTATCATTGAAAATTTTATTGTGTGGCGAGAGATTATTAAGGAAATTTGAGAAAAAAAAAAAAAATTTTTTTTTCAGTAGCAGAAGAAAAAAAAAAATTATTTTTCAGTAGCAGAAGAAAAAAAAAAGAGAAACAGTTACAAACGGTTTTGATTAAAAAAAAAAAAAAAAAAAAATTTTTTCTTTTCTCTCCAGCTCACGACGCAGACGAATACAAAAAAACTAATTTGAATGTAATAATTTTCTTTCACGATTTATCATTATTATTATCATTATCATTATTATTAGATGAAAATTTAATTTTTATATAAGGATGCTGGGATGCTGGATAGATGGACCATTTTTTGTTTATTGCTCTTATTCCGTAATAATAATAATAATAATTTAAACGTTTTATTAACGTCACATAGAGCCGAACGTTTTAGAAAAGGATTCAATTTAAAATTTTTCTTATTTATTTATTTATTTATTTACATTAAAATTGTTTATAATAAAATTATTTGTTTATAATGGCGTGAGTTAATAAATAAATAAATAAATTGGATAAAGACGGATCTTTAAAAAAAAAAAATGAAGAAAAGGAAGCCAAAAAATATATAAATTGATGATGAGACACAATAAATTTAGCATAACGAGTTTTTTTTTTCTTTTTTCTTCTTAAAGGCCACAAAAAAAAGATGATGATGATGATGATGATGATGATGAAAAAAAAAAAATTCGTAGTTAACCTTTTAACATAATAAATTAGCAATACAAGGTAAATTCATTCGCGCAGCATCATTTTAAATGTTGTTGTGTACCAACATTTTGATAAAATCCGAGATAAAATCTGTCCATGGCCGAGGATTCTAATTAAAACTCGACTAAAAAACATTTTTAATATGTTTATCTCTCTCTCTCTCTTTCTCTCTCTCTCTCTCTCTCGTATTATTTAAGCCTTGATAAACGTTTAACATAATTATTATTATTATTATTATTATTATTATTATTATTATTACTTTTATTTAATTTTTCGAATGGGAAAGAGAAAAAATAGAAAAATAGAAAAAATGTTATGTGTAACATGAGGGCAAGGTTAAATTAAAAACCGCAATTTGAAATACTTTTACTCTATGAAAATAATTTTTTGGTTTTATTTAGTGGTCGTCGGTTCAGGTTCGAAAAAGAAAAAAAAAAATTTTGTGTGCCTGTGTACCTGTGTAATAATAACGATGCGTGAATAAAAATATGTGTGTTCCCCGGTTTTAATGCGACGTCCATTTTGTCTCGAATCGAGTTTTTTTATTTTTTTTTTAAAACGAATCGAATTCGAAATAAATAATGGATTAAAATAAATTGTCGCCGCCATTTTGAATAAAAAAAAAAAAACAGAAAACAAACGGAGGGAAGTGGGATGGGGAGGGGAAAACAATTTGGCGACAAATTTTTAACGGATTTGCGACGTTTTTTTTAAAACAGTATTTCGTTCGGTTTAAAAAAAAAAAAAAAAAAAAATTTTTTAGACGTTAAAATTAAAGAAACGCCTTATTTGAAATTTTTTTTTTTTTTTTTATGTTGGCAATACTTACATATTGAAGATTGACATTAGATGTATAAACAATGTATCATTAATTTATTTAAATTGCTCTTTGTTTTTATTGTTTTTTTAATAAACGGTTGCTGGTATGAGCCAGGTGAAAACTCCTTACGGTAGTTGAGTAATTTTTCTTTTCTTTTAATTTAGAAAATGCCTATAGAAGAAGGCGTTAGCGGAGAAGGAGGCGGTGGCGGTAGCGGTGGCACAATGTCTCCAGAACGTAGGCTTCGTACGACAACAGAATCGCGAGATCCATCGATGCCATCATCGTCATCGTCGTCGTCGTCGTCGTCATCGTCATCATCATTAGATAACACGACACTAGCTTCATATCATCAACATTTGGCTGCACTAGGTGGTAGTTTGCTAGGTCATCACGCTCGAGAATCATCGGCATTTGTACCGGTTGTACCGTCTCGATCTCTTCATTTAGTTCCTTTCGAAGATGGCGGAGGAAGAAAAATGGATATTGCCACTATGATGGCGGATAAACGTAAAGAAATGGTTTTGAGAGAGGAAGCTGCGTGCGTTGCAGCAGCACACGCTGCTGCCGCCATGTTCAGGTACGTTTTCCCCTCATCATTTCGAATTTTTTTTAATTTTTTGACTTCATATAACAGGTATTCTTCTTTTTCAGAGCTCCTCCTCAACCCTACGGACCACCGGGAATATTTCCTACTCCCGGTTTGGCATCGGTTGTTTTCCCTCATCCGCATTTGGATCGAAGACTCCTCCGTGCTCCCGGTCGTGCTTCCCGTCCTAAAAAACAATTTATCTGCAAGTTTTGCAATCGGCAGTTTACAAAATCCTACAATTTGCTCATACACGAAAGAACTCACACGGACGAAAGGCCCTATTCATGTGATATTTGCAACAAAGCGTTCAGACGTCAGGATCATCTCAGAGATCACAGGTATGTTAATCAGTTTTATCAACCCACCCCCCACCCCCACCCCATACGTTTCATTACGTCGGCTGTTGCGTTTTAATTTTGACATGTTATAACTTACCTATTTGCTTCAACGAGGTTTCAACCATATTACGAGCCTTGGGTCAAATGTACCTGTTCTTCTTCCTTCACCTGCTCGATTCTTTGAATTATAATAATAAACGGTCGATTGCTACTCACACACGCATACACACGCACACACGCACCTCTCAACGACCCTTCGTAATGCAAACAAAAGCGTAGGCGAATATATTTATTTATCTACCCTCCTCCATTTACAAGTTTTTTTTTTTTTTTTTTTTTTTTTTCAAATGTTGACAGTTTGTAGATAGATACTTTCGGAATTTAAAGAGAGAGAGAGAGAGAGAGAGAATAAAGTTACCGACTCTTCGAGTTTCACCGTTAAATTCAACCCTCCCTCCTCCTCCCCCAACACAGGAGAACAAAACAAAATAATAATAATAGTTTTTGTCAACCTGATACCTGATTTCAAGAGGGGGTTTCGGTTACGACACGCCTATTTTTTCGTCGTGGGGGGGGGGAGGTTTTTTACACGAAAAAACTTTCGATTAATCGAAACAATTTTTTTTTTTTTAAATTCTGGAAAATTCTTTCGATATTATAAAACCAGTAAAAAAAAAAAAAGAAAAAATTGTTCAATTTAAAGATGGTGGTTTTTTTAGGGGGGAAGGGAGGGAATGGGGAGGGGGGTTTCGAGTAATAAAAACCGCAAACTAATTATTTCAAATGTTTCTAGAATATTATAGAAATATCTGTTTAGAAAAAAAAAAAAAGAAAGGTAACGCTAAAACGAGTTTTTATTTCTCAGCATCAAAATCCAGTCGGTTTTTCTCTCTCTCTCTCACACACACACACATACTCTTTATTTAATTCGCTATAAAAGTTCTTTTTTTTTTTTTTTTTTTTTGATGCGTGTGAGTGTGCGTGTGCGTATATGAAACAAAAATAAAATTATGACGAGTAAAAAGAGGAAAGAGGAAAGATAGAAGAAAAAAAAAGATGGCGGACCAAAATTTTGTTAATAAAGTTGATATGATTGTCCCAACCAACGTTGGGCATTTTTTTCTAGACTGAGACTCTTTCAGGGGTAGTAGGTTCGCCTCGGGCAAGTTGTATCTCATTGGTTCGAGCTACATTCCACCTCAGACTTGAGAACTACTAACAGAATCAGAGCAGAATTTTTTTTTAAAAAAGAATTTTTTAACGATCGAATCCATTTTTAAAGCCTCACCTCGCACACGTTTGTTTAATTTTTTACGGTCGAGAGACAAGAGAGTGAGAGAGAGAGAGAGAGAGAGAGAGAGAGAGAGAGAGAGAGAGAAAGAGAAAGACAAATCGTTTCGCGTTCGATTTAAAAAAATTCAAAAAAATCTTTTTTTTTTTTTTTCTTATTTCCATTGACTTTATTAATATCATCATCATCATCATCATTATTATTCGTTACCGAATTGGCGGTTATTTCAAAAAAAAAAAAAAAAATTTTGATTTTAAACGCGTTCAAGAGGAAAAGAAAAGATTTTAAATCGTCCTTGACCCTTAAAATTTCAAAATTATATCTTTGAATACGTTTTCCTTTTTTTTTTTTTTTTTTTTTTAATTCGCCATTTTGAAAATAAATAAATCATTATTATTCTTTTACCGCGAATAAATTTTTAACGGAAAATTTAAAAAAAAAAAAAAAAAAAAAAGGTTCCGATAGGATTTGTCTCTTTGTTTCATTTTTTCACCACCCCGCCGCGTTGCAGTCGCTCCTTTTGTCATCATTTGAATTTCGCGCGTTTTTTTTTTTTTGTTGACGTCTCTTCGAAAGTTATTTTTAAATATGACCTTGAAGGGTCAAGTCACTTTGAGGGAAGGAGGGGGGAGAGAGAGGATAAAACTTCAGGAAAATTAATGAGATTCAAATAAAAAAGGAGAAAAAAAAAAAAACGCAGCATCCGACCGTTGCACGCAGAGACCATTTTTTTTTTTTTTTTCTTACGATTGCCTGTTTTCGAATCACGCAAATCAATTCGTTGTTTGTTTGTTTGTTTGTTTGTTTGTTTGTTTAATATTGTCGCCCTTTATCTTTCCTCCATTAAAAAACATGGTGAGGAGAGGAGAAGTCTCATGGAAAATGTATATATATATATATATTTTATGGAAAATTTCAGGTACATACACAGCAAGGAAAAACCATTCAAATGCGGCGAATGTGGAAAAGGTTTTTGCCAATCCAGAACTTTGGCGGTACATAAAATCCTTCACATGGAAGAATCCCCTCATAAATGTCCCGTATGCAGTAGGAGTTTTAATCAAAGATCAAATTTGAAAACTCATTTGCTCACACACACGGATCACAAACCATACGAATGCGGTTCTTGCGGTAAAGTTTTCCGAAGGAATTGCGATTTGAGACGACACGCATTGACACACGCAGTGGGAGACGTGCCCCCCGAAGTACTCGCAGAAACCGAAAGTGAAAGATCTCCAAGTCGAGATTCGACAGAACGACGTCGTTCAATATCTCCAAATTCAACACAGTGTCATCATTCGGATCCCGAGGGTGGAGTAGGAGGAAGTACATCATCGTCTTATACTATGAGACCTACGACAACAGCAGAACCTCGTCCGCAATTACAAGTAAGACGAGATTTACACGATAGATCTCCCGGACCGACACAATTTTCTCTGTCGATCGGAAAATTTAGAAGGCATCAACAACAACAACCACCACCACCACCGCCGACGCAGACGCAACCACCACCACCACCGCCGACGCAGACGCAACCACCACACGTTTTTGGTAGCGGGGGTATAATATCACGAAAATTATCATCATCATCATCATTTTCATTTCCATCAACGAGTGGTGTGATGTCGAATCAACCCGACGATTTATCATCATCATCATCGTCGTCGTCGTCGTCGGCCGTACGTCCGACGGAATTAAAATTAAAATCAAATTATACAAATTATAAAAAAATAAATTATCGTTCGAGATCAAACGATATTTACGTTGGGGACGAGATAATCGATCCGGGAGAAAATATACAAAATCCGGAACAACATTTATTTACAAAACGTCCGATACCGCCGGAACCACCAGATCAAGAAGATCATTTAACAATATATCATCATCATCATCATCCGTCGGCAAATTCCGCGGATTCTTATCCACCACCGCCACCTATTAACCACGATGTGACGTCAGAATTCGATTCCGACGAACCTTTATCCCTTAGCCGGAAATCAACAATCACAACACAAGTCTCTCCTTCTTCCACGACGGTTGTAAAACCTCATTCAAATTCTCCCAAATCATCATCACCACCGAAATTATTTACAACTACGAATTTAGTTGAACCGATTCCGGGTACGTCTTCTACTACGTCATCATCATCATCTTCTTCTTCTTCCACGACTCCGAGACCTCCGGCTAAAAGAAAAGGATTTAGTATTGAAGATATTATGAGACGCTGACGATAATATATGAAATAAATTTTTTTTTTTTTTTTTTTTTATTAGGTTAAACGATGTAGATTTAGTACGTGAGTCTTTTTAATTTTAAATAATTAATTTAAGGTATTAAGTTTAAATTTAGAAGGAAAAAAAAAAAAAAGGAAAAGGAGAAAAAATTTGAAAAAAAGTTACAAAATTGAATTTGTTGACTTTTTAAACTTGTCAAAAAATTTTTTTTTATTTGTTGTACGTTTATTATTATTATTATTATTATTATTAATTTTTTTTTGAAAAAACCGTTTTAGATAAAATAAATTATAAATATATATATATATAATATAGATAATAATAATAAATAAATAACTTTTTTTTTTACCGGGTTTAAATAAATTATTACTAAGTAATAAATAATTTAAGGATAATAATAATAAAAACAAACAATTTTTAAATTTGGCGCGTTAATGATTTCAAAACGATAAATAAAACGACTCGATCGAGAAGGCGGTGGTTTTCATCTATGTAAAATGGCTGATGTAACTCGTAAGAGTCGACGCTATCTAGTTTAGTTCTTTTTTTTTTTTTTCTGTTGTTGCGAATAAAGCGATCGTCTTCTTTTTTTTTCATATTGAAATGAAAAACTTTTTATTATTAATAATACTGGTAAGTAATTCATATTTTTTTTTTATTTTTTTTAAACCATTTTCACCGATTTTCATTTCTAACCTCACCTGGTCGGGAAAAATTTCATACGTTTGTATATATGACCATAACGAATTTTAGATTTTAGATAGTCTTATTGAAGGACGTTATCAATTTTTATCGGCCGTTACGGGTAAAGTTAGCCAGGGAAAATATATTTATTATAATGCAACCGTACCGGGTACAATACTTTTAGAATTAACATCCATTTCGGGTGATGCCGATTTATACGTATCACAAAAAACTAAAAATCCTACATGGGATCATCCAAATAATTATTGCTTACAATCAGTTACATGTGGCCTCGATTCAATTCTTATTCCTAAAAGGTAAAAATATTATCTCATATAATAAATATTAATTTTCATTTTATTTTAATTAATTAAAAATTAAATAAATTTAATTAATTAAAAATTAAAAAATTTAGTTTTAGTAGACCATTAGGAATTGGAATTTATGGCCACCCATCACACAAATCGAGTCAGTACATTTTAACAGTTAGTTTAGTCGATGATTCCCATGATTTATTTTCATCGAATTCATATGATGAAAAAATAGACAAATTTTATTTTCACATCGATGATGAATCGTCTATTAAAAAACAAAAGATTGATAATAAGTACGAGGAAAACGATAATGATGATGACGAGAAGAATACAATTTTTTCATTTATAAAATTATTTATTAAAAATTTACTTATGATAACAGCAGAAGAAACTGTATCAGGTTTATTATTTTTTATTTAAAATATTAATAATAATGGCATATATAAATATTCATGTTTTATAAATAATTTTTATTTTTCTTTTCGATAAATTAAAATTTGAAAATATGTCATATTAATTATCATATAATCATTTCATTATTCGATTCGAATAACGAATCCTCTTTCTCTCTCTCTCTCATCTTCATATCGAAAGAGAGAGAGAGAGAGAGAGATAGAGAGAAATGAATATATTCATTCAATCACCGACTGACTAACTGATTGACTGACTGGCTTGATTACATACAAGAGAGACAGAGAGAGAGAGAGCTCACAAATTGTTATTGAATTTTTATATTTAAAAAATGTTATCGAGACTCGATAATAATAATAATTTGGCACAGCACTCCTCGTAATGTGTATATAAAGAAAAAAAAAATTCAAAAGAATATATTCATTCAATCACTGACTGACTAACTGATTGACTGACTGGCTTGATTACATACATACATACATACAAGAGAGAGAGAAACAAAAAAAATCTCGTTTAAAATAATGATGATTTTTTTTTTCTTTTATTATTATTATTATTATTTTTATCGATTACTTTATAACATACAACACGATTTGAAATTTTAATTTAAATTTTTTTTTTTTGATTACATTAATAATAATAATAATAATAATAATAATAATAATAATAATAAAACATATTTTTGCCTTAAAATAACACAAAATAATATAATAATTTATAAAAATTTGAAACAATTTTTAAAAAATGCTTTTTTTTTTTTTTTTTTTGAAATTAATTTTATTTATTAAGACGATAATAGTAGTAATAGTAGTAATAATAATAATAATAATAATAATAGTAGTAGTAGTAGTAATAATAATAATAATATTTAATTAATTAATTAATTAATTCTTTATTAAATTGAGCTTAATAACACATTTTTCTTGTTCGTTCGTTTCCACATTCGATATTTAAATACCTTACATACTAATAAATAACTCTTATCATTATTATTATTATCATTATAGATAAGAAAAAAACATTTTACCTATTAATCGATTAATTTAATAACCGTAATAATAATAATAATAATAATAATAATAATAATTTCCTCTAAAATTCATTTAAATTAATAAATATGCTCCTTCTTCGCAATTTGTTTATCAATAACAATAAATTTATTTATTTAATTACGGATCGATATAATTTTTATCAGTGATTTCTTTTATATCTTTCTCACTCGCACGCACGCACTCGCACTCTCTCTCTCTCTCTCTCTCTTTCTCTCTTTCATTTCCAACAATCAATTTCCTTTTAAATAAAATTATTATTATTATTATTATTATTATTATTATTATTACCATAATTATCTTTATTTACAAAAAAACATTAAAATAAAAAATAATAAAACAAATTTAATAGTAATAATAATAATAATAATAAATATAATAAATAAACGAATATAAAAAATTAATTAATTAATTGTAATTGATGCAAGGCAATAATTATTATTATTATTATTATTATTAATTTTTTTTTTATTAACGGACGTGTAACGACGCAGTCGATAAGAAACTTTTTTCTTTTTATCTCTTATCACTTAAACCACCAAAAGCAAAAAAAGAAATTTTTATCTTAGAGCGAGGGGGGGGGGAAATAATCACCCTTAACGTATTATTATTATTATTATTATTATTATTATTATTATTATTATGCGTATAAAAACATTTAAAGATACGTACGTTCATCGTACAACGTACACATACACACATATACATAATAATAATAATAATAATAATAATAAAATATAAACAAATCATTACGATAATAATAATAATAATAAATTTTTTTTTTCATCATATCAAATAATTACTTATTTATTTATTTACATTGAGAGCGAATCGAATAATAATAATAATAATAATAATAATAATAATAAGAGATTGGAAAATCATTTTTTAATTTTTTTTTTTTTTTTCTGGACGTTTTTCCCAATTTCTCTCTCTCTCTCTCTCTCACACACACACACCAACAAACAAACAAACAGACAACATTCTCTTTCTTATACGTATATGAAATTTTACTTATTCATTATTATTATTATTATTATTATTATGTATTATTTATTATTAATAAATTACAAAAATTACATTTACAAATAAGAAAGGATTATATATATATATATATATATATATATATATATATATATATATATATATATATATATATATATATATATATATTATATATTATAAAAGAATGTTCATTACATAATTATAAAATATTATTATTATAAAGAAGGGGGAGCGGGGGGAGGGGAGCGGAGGGGGGGGAAAAATGTTTCAATACTAAAAACACTACTAAAAACTTTGGACATTGATTGTGATGGTTATTTATTATTATTATTATTATTATTAATTAATTATTTTTTATATTACGATAATTCCTCTTAATTTTTTTTTTTTCTTTTGTAAATAAATAAAAAAAAAAAAAAAATCCAGTGATTATGATTACGAGTTTAGTGATAATAATAGTGATAATAGTGATAATGATAATAATTTTACAAAATTCCATTTGTTAGGTATTGAAAACCGTCGTAGAGTTTCGTGCTCAACGAGTGAATGCTCGATTCGACCAAATTATCCACGAGCAATTGCAAACGTTCTTCCGTCATGTTTAAATGGAAACGATTTTTCAAATTGGAAACCGTCGCACTCCCGGATTTGAAACAAGGCAATTGAGAACTCGAACGCATTATTTCGACGATGCTCAATATGTTTTCCATGTGTTTCCTCGCCGCGACCAATCCTTGGAGTATTAATATTTTATAATATTCAAACATGTCGGATCCCAAACCGCCCATGACGGCGACAAATTCCGGAGTCAATTTAAACGGGGACGTTTCGAAACCGAGATTTTTCGGCGACGCCGACAATATGAAACCGTAGTCTATGTGAATGACGTGTCCCTCGTTCGTAAGCAATATGTTTCCGTTGTGCCTGAAAATAATTTCAAGAATTTCGGTGATCGAATCATTGCTGCCACTGCTCCTGCCACTTCCACCGCCGCCACCACCACCACCACCACCATCAACCACGACATATAATTACCTATCTTTGACTTGTATGACGTAACAAATGATAGAATAAGCGGCGCAAGATTGTACGAAATTCCTTTGTGCCGTTAAAAATGATTCTGACGTCACGGGACCGAATTCCTGTTCGAAATATTCGGGAAGAGACAATTGGCAATGTTTTCGTATTTGATGAAGTGAAACCGTGTTTGGAATCGTTTCAATTAAACCGCTATCGTTGGACAAACACAAAATCCTTAAACGAACAAAAAAAATAAATAAGAATTTACGATCGTTATAAAATCGGACGAATGACGTGACGTAACGTAAAACGGGGAAGCAGAAAACTCTTCCGCGCTGGACAAAAAGTTTTTTTTTCATTCATTTTCCGTTAATTGATGAGTCTAATTAAAAAGAAAAAAACTCGTATGATTCGCGTTAGGTAATTTTAAACTTTTTTTTTTTTAGGAAATCGCCGTGAGGCGTATTATTGTGTGTGTGTGTGGGTGTGTGCGCCACACACAATAATACGTATGCCTCATACACACAAACAAACAACACACTAACTTAAACACACACACAAAAACAAACAACACACTGACTTATACACACACTAACTAACTTAAACACACACACACACACTAACTAACTTAAACACACACACACACACACACACTAACTAACTTAAAACACACACACACACACAAACTAACTTAAACACACACACACACACACACACACACACACACACACACACACAAACTAACTTAAACACACACACACACACACACACACACACAAACTA